TTTGTACACAGTGTTAAAATTTTAAAGCTTATTCTTGAGCCAATACAAATTCTTTCCTGGGATCACTCAAATTGAATACTTCTAAACATGTAAATATGCATCAGTACACGTTATATATAGGCCTAATAGAACACATAGGCCTAAGCATGATTTTTAAAAATCTTAAATCCATAAATCTCAGGCCAGTCTTTTAAGATATAAATGCGATACTCTGGTTCAATTTCGTTTTTATCCTTTTGCAAGTTTCTTTAAATGTTTGTTTCATAATACTACTACTAATAATAATAATAACAATGATGATGATGACGATAGTAATAATTGATATTAATATTAATAACAATAAATAGTGAAGAAAATCGTGCTAAATGCGAAAAAAAAGTTGTGATTTGTTGATCATAATAATATTATATTAGTAAGATATAATTAGGCCTAAGTTGTCCTGGAGATTAAGTAGATCTCTGATAAAAGATCATGAGAAATTTGTTGGCGTTTCATTTTGACTATAATGGTAATATGATGATGATGAATTTTACTATATAAAACTGTCATTTCCGGCCATCTCGAGAGGTACTATTTCCTCAAATTTTCTCACGTGGTTGTGAAATCACGTTTTTGAAGTAGCACTATGTAAAGTACCGTACATACTGTACTCAAAGACAATGTTCTTAAGCATTTTTTTCTGTTTTTGTCTATGGTATATCACACACGCATTAATAAGAATAAGATCTCTATGGTTGTCAAAAATCCCTGAAAAAAGATCATGTTTGTTTATTATTAATACTACTACTAATAGTAATAATAATAATAACAATTATGATAATGACGATAGTATTAATTGATAATAATATTAATAGCAATAAAAAGTGTAGAAAATTGTGCTAAATGCGAAAAAAAAAGTTGTGATTTGTTGATCATACTATAGTATATATAGTTAAAGCTTAGTAAGCTAATTAGGCATATGTTTTCCTGGATATTAAGTAGATTCCTGATAAAAGATCATGAGAAATTTGTTGGCGTTTCATTTTGACTATAATGGTAATGTGGTGATGATGAATTTTACTATATAAAAGTGTCATTTCCGGCCATCTTGAGAGGTACTATTTCCTCAAATTTTCTCACCTCAGCCCCAGCCATGGTGGGGCTGAGGTGGTTGTGAAATCACGTTTTTGAAGTAGGCCTATGTAAAGTACATACTCAAAGACAATGTTTTTTAAGCTTTGTTTCCTATGGTATACACACACACATTAATAAGATGGTTGTCAAAAATCCATGATAAAATATCATGAGAATTTTTTTTGGCGCTTCATTTTGACTAATGGTGATGTGATGATGATGAATTTTACTAAAAGTGTCATTTCTGGCCATATAAAGGTACTATTTCCTCAAATTTTCTCACCTCAGCTCCAACCATTGTGGGGCTGAGGTGGGTGTCGACTCACAAAATGCCCTCCCCTACACCTTTCAAAACAGATCTGTGCCCTTCCCTGGGTATGACATTAAACTCCATCGAGTCGTCGGCTCCTGATGTATGTCTTAGTGACTGCTGTTTGCTTTAGGATGTAATCTGGTTTTTCATGTACATTTTTCGTGATTATGACTATTCTGGATAAAGAATGTTTTGAGCAGAGGTGGATCCCCCCTACCCCTTCATTTTTTTAAGGGGAAAAAAAAGAAAAATATATTCAAATTGAAGTGCGAGAGTGTAATTTCCGGCCATCTAGAGATGCCCTAATCATAAATTTTCAGTTTTATAGATCTGGTCCTAACTTTGAATATATGCCATTCAATTTTAATTTATTTGATCAGCCTGCGCTTGCATGTGGCCAGAGACAACTACACATAGATAATATATCTGTAATATGAGGTGTATATACCCACTCATATAGACGCAGGGTGACCTCGAAAATCACGAACAATTTGCATCGTTAAACAAAGCGGCTACTTTGACTGCAGATAATTTCAAACGAGAAGGGGTAATCTAAGGCCATATTTGTGAAATATGGCGAAAAATAAGTTAGAATACCAAGTTTGACCCTGATAGCTATTTCCAATCTCGAGTTATAAGCTTCCAAAGTTGAAGTAAATTGCGTTTGCTCATCTTGAAGAACCACGCCCCATATTTTTGAGGAGTCAATATCTCGAAAACTACATATCCTATGAGGCTAATTTTTTTTTGTTGGTTTTTCATACGGTAGTGGCTATCGGCACTAGTGCCAAAAAAATCTATTGTTTTCTATCCGCACTGCCGCAGTGCCAAAAAGCTGACGTTTTCTATCGGCACTGCCGCAGTGCCAAAAAGTTGCTGTTTTCTATCAGCACTGTCACAGTGCGAAAAGCTGCTGTTAATTAATCGAATCGATGTTTTTTATCGATAGATGATATTGGTGTAATTCATAATTCATAATTTTATTTCACTCAAAACGTAATGAGACTGGTTAGACAAGAACATGTCCCTGTACAAGATGCCTACCAGAGAAACAATGATAATTTTAATGGCAAAGACATAATAATAATAATAATAATAATAATAATAATAATAATAATAATACAGATAATAATAATAATAATAATAATAATAATAATAATAATAATAATAATAATAATAATAATAATAAAGAGTAAATGATAATATTGAATGAAGATCAAAATATATCATTGAAGTGAATTCAGTTATTTATTAAAACAAGATTTGGAGGGCTGGACTGTCATGAAGGTGTATTAATGATGTTCTAAATATTTGCCTTTATTATATCAATAATTGATTAGGTCTAGCC